CCGCCACTGCCGCGTATCAACGGTTCTAACAATAATAACAATACCGTGCAACAAAATGTGGTGCTGACGATGAACGGTAGTGCAGTGATTACGCAACAACAGCAACAAACGATTACCGTGCCACGTGGTTGGAAAAGGATATGTACCAACGGTGTCATCATTTATATCAGGTGAGTCTCCTTTTCGATTTTCTCTCCTACTCGTTTTTGCTGAACTTGTACTATTCGCAGATTTAGATGACACTTTTTTATGTGTACACATATTGGAATAGACTGCGTAAAACGTGAGACATTGAATTCAATGATCCTCAGTTGATTTTTCTCTTTCTAATATTAGCAAGTTGATGGAGGAACTCTATTTTATTTTTATGATATGCGAGTGGAACTGTCATTGCGCTGTCTCCGCCAAGTGTCAAACTTTTTTGGTGTAGTACGCTTTTGGTGCAGTCTATATGTGTATGTATAACAAGATAAAAATGACGTACATTAAACGCATAGTTTTAATAATATTTCAGTATGTTATACTTAATATAATTTTTAAATACAATGCATTTAATAAACATTCATTTACAAATGATGATTTTATTAATCCGTAAGCAAAAAGATAGTCGAATTGACGTATCCATTATCCATTGTAAGAAATGGAACGAGTAGGCCACAGAAAGTTCTCTGATATCGCGATATTCAGAATTGACTTCGCCATCAAGGTTTATCTTAATGGTTTTGCGGGTTAGTAGCATCGATCCGCAGTTAAATGCTCCAGCTCGAACTTTAATTTCACTAATGGAATTAAATGCGTCCAGTTCGAGCAAATAAGATTAGCAAAGCGACCAGTAAATTAGGATAAAAAGTTAGAGGCTCGAGCACGCGATATTTTCTGCGTACAAGTCAACTTAAATAATAAAAAAAAAGTTATTAATACTTAACAAAGAAGAGACAACTAATTCACGTTTGCATCGATAACAAAGCATTGAATGTAACGAGTGTGAGAAAGTTTCATCACCTAAGCAAAGACACTCGGTGGATCTTGAAGATATTAGAAAGGTTTCGTCCCCTTTCTGTCCTTTGTAATCTTTTTCCGACGTCTCAGTGAAAAACACGAATTTTCTGGGCTCTCCGTTGAACGCCCCCTTTCCTGTCATCATCCAGCACGTGGAAAAGCGAAGGCGTCTTCCTTCTAACCCCTCATTGTACTTTTATGGCTCTTTTCAAAGTCCGTTCGAGGGTCACTTTCATCTTTTTCACCGCGCCTTTTTTACGGCTGTCTCTGCAAAGATGGTACGCATCGCATGTTCCCTGCCTTCTATTTTGAACACTTTACCGACCGGAAATCATACACGTTGGCGACTACTGGACGAAAAGTGATTAATGTGTTGTTAAATATTAATTAATTTGTTGTTGGGTTCATAGGAGGTATGGTACTATGTTAGGATGCAATATGCCTTATTTGCATTTTCAGATTTTTACATTTTCGCATTAATAAATTTTTAGAATTTTATATTCTCAAATTTTTACATTTTTATATTCTCAAATTTTCACATTTCCGCATTCTCAAATTTTCACATTTTTACATTTCCAAATTTTCATATTTTTATATTTCCACATTCTCAGATTTTTAAATTCCCAAATTCTCACATTTTTACATTCTCAAATTTTCACATTTTTATATTCCCACATTCTCAGATTTTTACATTACCAATTCTCAGATTTTGATGTTCCCACATTCTCAGATGATTACATTTTGAATTTTTCACATTTTTACATTTTTAAATTCTCAGATTTTTACATTCTCAAATTTTCACATTTTTATATTCTAAAATTGTCTCATATTTATATTCTCATATTCTCAGATTTTTACATTCCCAAATTTTCACATATTCACATTCCCAAATTTTCACATATTCACATTCCCAAATTTTCACATATTCACATTCCCAAATTTTCACATATTCACATTCCCAACACATTCCCAAATTTCCAAATTTTCACATATTCACATTCCCAAATTTCCAAATTTCTAGAGTTTATAATTCTCAAATTTCCAAATTTATTAATTTTTTAAATTTTAAAGTTTCTAAGTTTCCATTCCCCAAATTCCCAAATCATTAAGTCTTCAAGCCCCCTAAATTTTTAAATTTTTAAGTTTCCAGATTTCCAAACTCCTAAATATCCAAATGTTCAAATACCTAATTTTCCAGATCCTATTAAGTTTCCATCTTTTCAAGTACCTACATTTCTAAATCTTTAAATTTCCAAGTTTCTATATGTTCAATTCCCTAAAATTTAACACTAAAACTACCAAACTGGTCAAATGACCGCTCCACAAGTTTCTAACTATAAGGTACACATTTTGTTAAAATACATTCCTTGAAATCAGAGTTGATTTTCATCAAGATAAAGAATAAATGTGTGTACTAATTTATGCCTCGTCGTTTATTTATTTTTGAACTTCATTTTTAATTTCAAATTAAATACACATTACATGCCGGTATGTTTAGTGTTAAAAAACCATACTCCTATTTTCGTCCTAGAACGAACCAAAATCATTGAAACCATTTGATGCGTCTCCCATAAAAAAGCGATCAAAAATCAATCCACCCGATCCCAAGTATTTTGCGAGTAACGCGAAAAGATGTAAGGATTCCTCGAGGGAGAATGACTCGGCACAGGGGTCCCGGCAATCTCGCAACGTGATTTTCTACGGATCACCCGGGATCAGCTGTGACGAGATACATCCACCTTTGTGTCGAACGAGGGAAGCTGATTCCTCGAGGTGTCCTGCAACGCTGAAAAGGGCATCGCCTCGTGGCGTAATCGTGCCTCGCCAGATCTGACCTGGTCTGTCCCAAACCTCGTTAAAACGATCCTTCCTGGCCTGGCAAGAGTCACGGTTTAAACGATGTTTAAAGGGCCCCGACAAACAATGCTTCGCAGCCTGCAACTGACCTTTTACGTTTCTGCCTCTCTTTGGGAGGCATACGGTCGCTTTGATCCGTTCTGTAACTTTTTTCGAGTGCTTCGTTTCTGTTTACCAAATGTGTCGAACCGGAAGAGGCTCCTCGTTAACAGCGTGGGAGGATGCTAAACGATACGGTTTAATCTGTTGGTTTAGGATTATGAAGTAGGTTAGAGTAGATATTTAGTACTTGGTAGGAGAAAAGTGAAATAGTTTCAATACTGTTAACCTTATGGGTTGATTTCCTTGTCTATGGAAGACGGGTTTGTGGTTTCTATTTGATGGGAGGTCAAGGTTGATGAACTATGAAGGGATGAAGTTCTATGGGGACATAGATTTGGATTGTAGAGATGTGGGGGCTTAGAGGGATAGAGGGATTTGAGGATATAGGAATGTGGAGATATAGGGATCTTGGGATCTAAGGAGTCCTGAAACCTGAGAGTTAAAGTTTAGTTATTGGGGACCATGGAATCTTGGAATTTTAGAATTTTGTGGATGTTGGAATCTTGGAATGTTAGAATCTTGGAATTTTGGGATCTGAGAATTTTTTCATTTTCTGAGTTTGGGCACTTTGGAGTCTTAGGTATGTGGAAACTTGGAATCTTTGGAAGTTTGGAGCCTTAGGAACCTTGGGAACCTCAGAAACTTTAGGAACTGCAGGAATCTTTAGAACCTTGCAATTTTGATCAGCTTGGGATCTTGGATTCATGGAATCTTGGGATCTTGGAACCTTGGTATCTTGGAATTAAAAATTTTGGGATATTGGAATCTTGGAATCTCAGAACCCCAAAATTTAGCAGCCTATAAACATAGAAACTTCAGAATTTTGGAATCCCAAAACCTATGAACTTGAAATCTAAGAACCTTAGCATACAGATCTAGGGACAATCTCAGTATACACATTCACATTACAGATTACAAGAACAGTCCCGTAAAATCCATCTGTAAAGAATGAAAATTCAGCTAAACTTCCTAAAGCTTCCCAAAGTGATAACGATCCATGAGTAGCCATAAGTTAACCGCAGTCTGGCCATAATCCAGAGCTCCACAACTATGCGTCAGATGAAGGGGTTAAAAACGTGACATAAAATCTGGCAGGATGGTTGCATAAATCGCCTTAGGAAACGAGCAGGGCCGATGAATTCGTCTTACGCTCGAAAATTCTGATACCGAAGACAAATTGTTTTTGTCTTGGCGGATAATTCGTCGATATATCTTGGGCGGTTGTAAGGGCAAGGATTCCTTCAAAGATTCTTAGACTTCAGCATCCGTCGTCTGAGGCGATGTATGGCTGGACAGATTCTCACATCGGGCCGTGTACAGGAAGCGAGGGAATGGTCGGAAGGAAGGGGATGAAAGGTAAGGGAGAGCATATAGGAAGGGAAGAGGAATTTCGTTGAACCGCGCTGTTCGTGCGATCATTGATTTACGATGGTACGTCGTAAATACCGCCAGTGATGTACGACCGTGCCTTCCCTTATCCCTTACCCCTGTGTGTACCTTCCCCTCGTCCTCCATCGCGAGTTTCTTCTTCGCTCTTCTTTCGCCTTCGCCACCGACGTTCCCTTTACGGACCTCTTCTTGATTTATAATACCTACAGGCCTGTTGTCTCTTTTCGTTCTCTCTGCTCGTACATACCTCCTAGGTGTCCGGACTTCGTTCCCCTAACCTTCCCTTCTTCTTCTTCTTCTTCTCTTGTCCGGCATTCCCTGTCTCGTATTAACTAAGGGCTCAGCCCTCACGTTCTTCTCCCGTCTGCTCTGCCTGCGAGTTCTTCTCTTCTTTTTTATCTATCATCCAACTGCTATCTGCCACCCGTTATTTACGTCGAAACCGTAAATGCTGCCTAGCTGTTAGACCTACCGGGACGGTTCAAATGACATCTTTGACATTTCTTTATTATTTCATATTTTGGGCTATTTCAACTTTTGTTATCATCAGTAATATATAAATTGGTAATTAATGATTAATGTTAGTTCTTTTTTCTTAAGATGATATTGGTGGATGCAACTGAATATATTAGGCTGTTTATATGAAGTGTAAGTGATATTATATTAGGCTGTTTATATGTAAATGAATTTTTAATGGAACTGATCTGAAAGAATTATAAAATAGTATTCGCTTAAGACAATTTATAATAAAAAGTATCATAAAATAGTATTTACCTAATACAACCCAATATGAAAGCATTACAAAACAGTACTTCCTTAATGCAACTGATGACATAAAAATATAAACTAACACTTATATAATTGTAATTTAATGACCTATCGTTAAGTACTTTTGTGCTAAGTCTAAGTTTGCAAGAAAATACATAATCCTTAATTCTTCATTGCATTCTTGCAATAATATTTTTAATAAAAATGATTTGTTTATTTGTAAAAGTTGAATAAAATTTTTCTTTAAACAGAAAATCATTGGCAATTATACGTGATCGAATTCGATGAATGTTTCGGCACGATTATTTTCAATGTAAATCTATTTAAATTAGCGCTGTTGCGACGCAATCTACGAGATTCAGCGCAGACACTTGGAATTGCAATTATTCTTGCTGGAACATTTTGAATATTCATTCGGATACTTACTTTGCATAGCGTTAAGTGCCAGCATGAAATTTGTAATTGTACCACGGTAAAGGATAATCCCATATGCGGTTTCCATTCTACGACCTGGAATGCGTTTAAACGTTACCTGTCCATGATACATTCTCATTTCTATTTTATTTCTCTTCTTCCTCAAACACGGGAACTTACTATGTACTTCTTAAATCTTCCATGTAAATCTCAAAGTATTGCTTATCTGTATAAAACGGAGCAATTAATTTGATCATTAAAATTGTTTAACTTCGCTGCTTATACGAACAGCAGAATTCAGGTCGTTTGAATGACTTGTTTGTTTTTTTAGTTCCTTTCGGGGAGGACGTAATCTTCGTTTCTTTGTAAGTCCAAAGGAAATATGCAGGTAAACTTTGGTTTCGCAACGGCAATGGCATACATTTTTCTGCATAAATTGTTGCGAATATTCTCTGGAAAAAAGTGACATAATGTTAAAAATATGAGTGGTTTGTGAAATATTTTTTTACTTAAATCCTTGTGTTTGTGTCTTTAGATTTTTATCTTTGTATTTTTAGATTCTTTAGATAGCTTTAAATTTTTATATTCATGAAGTCATATTTTTGAATTTCTATATTCTCAAATTCTTATATTCCCAAATTTCTATATTTTTGAAATCCTATATCCCTAAGTCCCTACATTCCCAAATCCCTATACCTCCACATTCCTACATCTCCAGATTTCTACATCTCCAAATCCCTATACTCCAAAATCCCCATACTGCCAAATCCCCATATTCCCAAATCCCCATACTCCCAAATCCCCATACTCCCAAATCCCCATACTCCCAAATCCCCATACTCCTAAATCCCCATATTCCCAAATCCCTACATCCCCAAATCCCCATACTGCCAAATCCCCATATTCCCAAATCCCCATACTCCCAAATCCCCATACTCCCAAATCCCCATACTCCTAAATCCCTACATTCCCAAATCCCTACATCCCCAAATCACTATATCTAAAAATCCCTATATCTCCAAATCCTTATGTCCCCAAATCCCTATATCCCCAAATCCCTAAACTCCCAAATCTCCATATCCCCAAACCCCTATATCTCCAAACCCCTACATCCCCACTTTGCTACATCTTCAATTACTTCTATCCCCCATTTTACATCTTGAATTCCAATATACCCACACCACTATATTCTTATATTCCTAAACCCCTACATATCTATAATTCAAGGTTCCTATAACCTCAATTCGTATAATTCTCTTTTGCGTCACATTTTCAACGTCTCCAGTTATAACACAGTACTGAATTTCATGTTAAACATTGATTATTGACTGAAAACAACGGGTTTGCCAAATGATCTCGAAACCTAGTTGCATAATAGTATAACAAGTCATTAACGTGGACGTTTTCGATACCTGTTTAAGTACGCGTAAATGGAACACGAGCACTTCAACCAGTTATTAGTTGTTCCCCCCTTTGTAATTGTTCGACCATTACTGATGACTGTTTCAATATTCAAACGCGTTATTCGTTTTTTCTTTAGATACGCTCGAAATATGGCTTTCAATTAGCAGAATAAAACCTTCCTAATTCATTAGAAATACATAATGATTTTGAAACCATGGACGTATTTTTATATAAATTGCCATTCATATTTTTGTCAAAGAATAAATCAAATTATATTTGGAAATTTTTAATATGGCTATTTTGTGAATTGGGGAACTGAAAGTTTGAACATTTAGGGATGTAATGGTTTAGTAACTTGAAATATTAAAGATGTAAAAATTTAACTCAACATTGTGATGTTCACATCCTATCATCTCAGAGTTCACGACGTTGCTCATTGAATTAAAGTTCAAATATTTGCCAAGTCCAGCCAACAATCTCTATTTGCTCCGATTGTTTTATCATTCACATTCGCAATTTACAATTCCGCCGTTCGTAATTTCTGTAAAGGATCGCTGTCACGGCATTTAATCTTCTTTCTCATTTGCAAGCGTTTTAATAGAACCGTACTCCAGCTCGTTCCTGCGCGTTGATGTACGACGTCCATTATCGAACGAAGAATCGGCCGGCTCGTTTGTAAGGCAAACAACGACGACAAGCACGAGCGAAGTGGCCGTGGTGGTAAAAATCAATCGAGATCGATCGATCGGGGGAGAAACGAGAGATCGTCGTACGGCGCAGAAGGAAAAATTAAGGTTACCGGCACGAACGATTAGGCTGCGGGTTCTGTGAGGCACGTGAGAAGCGCGGTACGGGGAACGATGGGTCAGGGGGGTCCCACGAAAGGGGTGAAGAGAGATTAACGGGAGAGGAGAGACGAGAGGAGAGAACAGAATGAGCGATAGTTGCGCAACCACACCTCCACCGCCGTCGAGCGGCGATTACGCAAACGTGATAATTAATTGCCAGTGTTCCTCTGTTTAATGACTCGTCAAGTCGTTTGCTAAACACGCCAAATCACCGGTACGTCACGAAAATCGCTATACAGGTGCATCGTTGCGTGTCGAAGCTGTTAATTCCACGGCGTAGTTGCATAACCATCGCCGGAGACAAGATCGTCTTTTTCTTTATTTTTATGACACACCGTAGCGCATACCTTTCTTGCGATCGCGTTTTCTCCACTACGCTCTTCAGGGATTCTAGCGTCGTGTCTTGTTAGCTTTATGGCGCGTTTCGAACGACTCGTTACTTCGAATACTTCTGAGTCATCGGTTCCTTATCGACATCACCACAATTTTTCAAACAGAAAATTTATTGCTGGGGGATTTTAAGCTTCTCGTATACCGAAATCCGTGGACAGTTATTTGTATAGGTAATATAGTCATATGTGTTACATATATATTGTATTTGAGTATGACTCAAATACATGACATTTTATGACATGTTTAGTGAATTAGAGAGCACTTGGGTCCAATGTAGGTTTACACTTGAAGACAAAACTGAAACTTGAACTCGACCTTCTCATCTTTATGAAATTTTTAAATCTTGAAACTTTCCAAGTTTTCATTTTGCGAGTTCGTGAACATTTTTTACATTTTCAAAACAAATTTTTGAACTTTTTAATTTATAAACATAGACGTTGTGTACAAATATCTGCATGGACAAAAATGATCCTTAAACAATCATGTTCTTGTATGCTCCATAACAAGATCTCTACCATATATGAAAATATATAAAAAAATAGATCAACTAACAGTGTATCTTTAGCAATTAAAAGATTGTGCAATAAGATCAAGTAAGAACTCTATAACGTCGGTAGCGTAACGGTTATCCTCACCGCTTACGAAACCGACGGTCGCGTGTTCAAATCTCCGGGGGGTTGAGTTTTTCGATGAAAAATTGAATCCAGTTTTTCATCGCGAATTACCACACCTCCTCCTCTTTCTATAAAGAAATATTCGGTGAAAATTTAATGAATAAAAAAAAGTTTTTCCGCGTCGTCGCCCGATGATGAATGAAATAAATCGCGGCCAGGGTTCAATCTAGCAGAGGAGGTACACGTGGCCAGGGTACTTTAGTTACCGCGATGCTCTACCTCGGGAAGGTCTGAGATAAAGTCGCCTCTTCAATGGTGTTTTCCTCGAAGAGGACGTCTCTAGAAGGGCGATCCCGTAAATGGGATGCGGGGAAACCAGAAACAGCGGTAAACCAGGCTCTATCGCTGTGGACGCCAGCAACCAATTTACCTTCTCTCTTCTCCCTTTCTTCGCGTTTCTCTCCTTGTTTCTCGCTCATTTTCATGTTCCCTTCTCGGACTTCTGTGCTCTCCTCTCTTAACCTCTCCTTCAGTTCCTTGAGAGAGAAGTGGGGAACTGGCAGAGGTCGGCCGGTCATACCGATGGAAATTCCCGCGACTCGCAATTTCAGTACAATCTGCAAGCCGTCCCTCCATACGTATCCACGCTTTCGTGGAGGTTGGGGCGGAACTCAATTCAGACTAATCTAACTCTGGTCCGTTTATTAAAACTGAGGGCACCGTCTTTTCGCTATTTGTCGCTTTTTATTTGAAATTTTACATGATTTCTTATATGGCCAATATTTAAAGATTTTCTATACTTATAGTACTGTGTACACGAAGGTTGACTAAACTTCCAATAGATATTTACTGTAACAATATTTACTATAATATTTAGTGTAATAATATACAAAAATATATTTAGCTACAAATGTAACTCTGTATTTATAGTAAAAAGTCCATATTATATCACAAATATAGTGCCTAACTTATATTCCCTAATACAATGTAAGGAAATTTCCGTTCGTTGCGAACTCCGATCTAATTTATTTTATAATTAATTTCACAAGTGTTACGACTTTCGAATCAAAGAAACATCCGTTTGAAAAGTTCAATTGTTCCACCTGTACTTTCTTAAAAAAGTTTCACTTCTAACGCGCATGACGATCGCATTAGTTTGTTTTTCAATTTCTCGCTCCACAGACAATTTTCTGTGTAATTACGCAACGTGGAATTAACCGTGCAATCGCGATTTCATGTCTCGTTTGTGTTTACCTCGATGAACGTAATTGATGTTAATCGATCGTAAAGTGGCATTGATTTTAACTGGAGGCAATTTCTTTTCGTTAAATCAAACGTTCGAAGTTTCGGGGAGTTATACACGAGAGAACCAGTTGACCCTATTTCCGTCAAGGTCTTGAATTACTTTCGACGCATTTTGTATTGAGTAATGGGCTAATTATAGTTTCCACTTGTTCAGAAACGTTGCTTTGGCTCGATCGTCGAAACACTCTCGAGGTATGCCGAATTTACAAGCTTTTAAATTATTCTTTGCGCCAGTTCGTATTTCAGTCATGACGAACATGTACCAGCTTTAGCTATTTTCCGATACGGTAAAACACTCGTATCCGCAGGGAGACGGTTTCAAGGCCTTTTGCGGACACCGAAATTCACGAATACTCTGTTACGTACATGTGTACATACGTATGTACTTATGTGCGATAAAGCTTCGATATAAGCGAACCAATCGGGTCTGAACGTTTGCTTATATCGTTCAGTTTCTATATTGATTGAAGTTTGTCGAATGTAGACAAGTGGAAAGAACGTCGAATCAAACGTAAACGAACAGCAATATATTGGAAGAAGTGTAATACAACATTTATATTTTAGTCTCTTATGAAACTTTTATTAATATATTTGTAAAATTTAAATTAGATCAAATTAATCTTAATTAAAGTGAAACCAATCTTGACGTAATTCGAAACGTACTTACTTGTAATTCCTTCATATTTACTTGTGTTGCGTTTATACTTTATTAAGTCCTTATAAGGACTTTAATAAGTTATTACAAGTAAATATGTCCCAAATTGTGTCATGTTTGGTCTCATTTTAATCAGAAAAATGTCACGAATATGACCGAAAAGGTTGTACAGAAAAAAAGGATTAAAAATAAACAAATTAGCAGTACAGAATTATATTACAACAATCTTGATGTTCGTTGAAAATTACACTGTCTTTCATT